CCTGCAGATGGATCTCACAGAATAAAACTGATTTCTCTCCCAAAAGCTGATGCCATAACTAGTGGGCTTGTTTCTGGGCATACCATTTTTGTGTGGTAACACTCTGCCCTCCTGCCCTTGTTCCTAAGAACTTCCTAGGGACACGTTTCCAGCCCAAATCAGCTCAACTGGTGGTATCTTAGGGTATGTTCTGAACTACTGTGACATAATAAGAAATACATATTTAGTCTCTGCCCCTGGTTCCTGGCACAGAGCTTCTAAAACCCTTGGAATTTCCTCAGTGGTAAGGGTGAGAGGAGCATCTTTTTGTTATTCGTAAGAAGTCTCTGAACCATACCTGACTTTATGCTAATGAAGTGATTCTTAGAGGATGAGGGCTGGTCACCAGAGGAAACAACCAGGTGATTAGAGTGTTGGAACTTTCAGCCCCACCCCTACCTCTGCGGAGGGGCTGGAAATTGAGTTAATCACTAATGGCCAATGACTTAATCAACCACGGCTACATAATGGAACTTCCATAAAAACCCTAAACAACAAGGTTCAGATTGCTTCTGGGTTGGTGAATGCGTCCATGTGCAGGGAGGGTGGCGCACTCCAACTGCACGGAGACAGAAGCTCCTGTGCTCGGGACCCTTCCTAACCTTGCCTTATGTACCTCTTCGTCTGGCTGTTCATCTATATCCTTTATAACAAACCAGTAATAGTAAGTTAAGTGTTTCCCTGAGTTCTGTGAGCTGTTAAAGCAAATTACTCTGAGGAGGGAGTTGTGGGAACCTCCGATTTATAGCTGAGTTGGATAGAAGTGTGGGTAATCTGGGGACCCACTACTTGGGATTGGCATCTGAAGTGGGGCATTCTGTGGGACCGAGCCCTTAACCTGTGGGACTGAGCCCTTAACCTGTGGGAGCTGCGCTAAATCCAGGTAGTGTCAGAAGTGAAGTGAATTGTAGGACACCCAGGTGGTGTCTGCAGAGAACTGGACAATTGCTTGGTGTGGAAAATCCACACCTTTGGTGTCAGAAGTGCTGTGAGTAGAGAAACACTTTTCTTTTAATCCCCTACTTCTCTCAGGGGCCTACCTCAAATCCCCAAGTGTCTATCCTATGGCCAGGCTGCAGCCTTGGGCCCTCCTAGTGTAGGCAGTGCTGCCATCCGTCCAGCAGAGGGCGCGTTCCCCATTCTTAGGAACTCGAAGCTCAAGATCCCCTGCGGCCTAAGAAGTAGGACTTCCTCTTAGCCCACAGAGGGTCCAGTCTTTCATTTCAATATTTAAATGTGTACTTAAGACCTTAGTTACCTTTACACTTTATCACATCCCTCTCGGGGGACTGCCCTTATCTATGATCACTTTCTTTTTGAGACATTCTTTCCTGCTTAGAATCTGAGGCTCATCCAGCCAAATCTATAAACTTGACTGCAGTCACATGGTGACTTTACCCAATTAGCCAAGTGGCCATAGACTAAACAAGAATATTGTCCTTACAAAACAAGTAAAAACACCAAGAAAGATTTATTTATTTATTTATTTTACCATTCTCAAAGTGCCCTCAAATTTCTGACTTTTCTTACAACAAAGTGAGATTCTTTTTAAAAAAATCTGCGAAGTTTTCCCATCGTTTGAATTTGTAGGTCACCCCCACAAACACACACACATCTCAGATGGGGAAAAAGAGCAGCCTCTGGTCACAGGTTGGGTTCTCCGATTGTAGGCTCTGAGTTGGGAGAATGGAGCCAGAGTGGGCAGAGGGAGAATGGATCCTGCGATGCAGACCCCATGTCACCCCAGCCAGCCCCATGGGCTCTCTGGAGCTGGCATTGTCCCAAGCTGGGCCGGGGCAGTCAGGCCTTCGACTCCAACATAGATCAGCCACTGGCTCAGGCTGCCCAGGACAGCATGACCTTGGGCGAGGTGCCTCTCTGAAGGAGCTGGCCCTGAAGGCTGTCCACTGGCCAGTTCGCAGCAGCTGGGGGAACAAGTCCTTCACGGAAGGGGGCAATCCCTGTGTGGTGGAGGCCACAGCATCCCTTCTGCCAGGGCTTGCTGGTGCCCTTCCCTTAGCCAAGCCCCTGCTGGGCTCAGATGTCAGGATGCTGTGCCCGCCCTGCTGGCTCATGGCCCAGCCGAAATGTTTCTTTAAGCAGATCCTCTGCTTACCGGCCTATCTCTCAGTGCCAGAACACACCCTGAAAAAGGTGATTGTGGATCCTAGGGAAACGCTGGTGGTTGTCAGGCGTTAACCCTAGCATATAAAAGAGGAGGAGGGAGGGGGTGTCAGCTGTGTGGGGTGAATTTATAACTTTGTCTTGCCTCAATTCTCAACGCCGAGGAGTGTCCTGCATACAGAGCCACCCTGTGATTCTGACAACTGCTCATTCTTTGTCCGCTTAGGCGCTGCTTTCTGTCCCTATTAACTATCTCTTCGTGATACTGCTCCCCTTGTTCAGTTTCCATCCATCCAACACAGTGGCACACGTGCCCGTGATGGGCTGGATCATTCCCGTTTGCTGTCTGCGCCTCATCTTAGGGACTGCCTCCCCTTGACTGTGGAATGGGGCCTTTCCTCAAGCTCCTCTGCTGGGCTTTTCCTTTCTCCCCCTGGCCATCTTATCGCGAGCTGGGGTGCCCCCACTTCTCTCCATATTGGACCCCTTAGCGCTGAGCGTGCAGCCCGGACCTTCTCCCCAGGTGTACTAGCACCTGGACGCCTGAGGGTCCCACCTGCAGAGAAGACGTGATGCCAGGAGGATTTGCCAACACAGCTGTTTATCCCGCAGCAAAGAGGAAGGCCGGAGCAAGCAGAGAGAGTTGGTCCTTGGCATGCAGCTTCATAGAACCCTTCTGCCACGATAATCACAGTGACCACTAACACTTATGCAGCACTTGACTATGTGCCAGGCACCTGACCCATTAACTCATTTAATCCTCACAACAGCTGTTGCAGTAGGTACTGTTATTATCGTCATTTTACAGATGAGGAAACTGAGGCACAGGGAAATGAAGGTAACACAGCTAGTAGGAGGTAGAGTCAGGATTCAAGGCAGCCTGGGCCCCAAGGCCACACTCTTTACCATTCTGCCGGCTTTAACACCCAAAATGGTGTTGGTCCAGTAGCCCTTCTGGTGGAGAACCCCGAATTCCAGGCTGGCTGTGGCCCCAGAGGAAGGCGTGAGGCCCGGGCCAGGTAACTAAGTATTTCATTTCCACGGCCTCAGCGATTGGGTCAGGAGAGAGCATGGGAGCCAAGCCAGGCCTGGCGCCCCGCCTCCTCCCCCACCCCCACCCAGGGACTGTCTTGCCAGAACAAGAGCCTCTCTCTTTTCAGGAGGGTGGCTGAGCCGCCTGAGAACGGAGCCAGCACAGGGAGCAGAGTTGGAAGGACAGACAGAGCCCTGAGGACAGGCTGAGTCCTGGGTCTGGTCACCCGCACACCAGGCAATTGTGCTGGTTGGCTAATCCCTTCCCCTAATTGGGTTTGCGTTTGGCTTCTGTCTCTTCCCATCTTTCCTTCACCTTGGCAGTCTCAGTGTCTAGCAGTGCCTGGTACTTACCTGGGTCAAAAAATATTTGTTGAAAGCACGAATGAGCACATTTTGGGATCTGCCCCGGCAGCTTTACTACCCGGTCTCTGCTCTGGGCTCTGTCAGGTTGAGCCACACAATTGTTCTACCCTAGCAAGTGCCCATCGCGCCTGCCTCAGCTTTTGTTCTTATTGGCTCTGCCGGGGGACACCCTCTTTCCTCTCTTTTTAGGTTTGATTCAGTCGCTTCTCCAGGAGGCCCTGATCACTGGGATCTGAACCGACAATTTCCCTCCTCTGAATTCTTTGCTTTCATTATATGGTGACAGTTCACGTCTCCCCTACAGAAAGTGGCGGCTCCTCGAGGGAAGGGGTAGACACACCTGGTTCTTCTTTGCATCCACTTGGGGCCTGGCATCAGATTTCCTCACATAAGCCATCCTGGGGCCAGGCAGGTGCCATCAGTCACTGATGCAGGCCAGGAGGTCTCCCCACAGCGGGCAGCTCAGCTGCCAGTTGCCCTGAAGAGATAAGGCCCCTAGGTTTTTCAAGGGAAGCAGAAATCCATATTTTTATGTAAAATCTCCCGGTTTTTAATTCACAATTTGAGAAACTCTGGGTAGGGTAAACAAATCCATCAGTGGGCTGGTTTTGGCCAAGGGCTTCCTTTTGGAGACTTGGCTGGGAAGGAAGAATGGATGAATGAACAAATCCATGGGCAGGGCTGTGGCATAAGGTGTGCGGGGTGTGAACTTCATGTGACTGGTATGGCACTGTGTCCAGGCTGAGGGTGTGCTGGTGGCTTTCTAAAGCAGGCGGCTCCCTTTCCAAGGTGGACAGAGCCCCAAACGAGAATAAACACCATGTAAAGAGACCTGGGTCTAGGGTGACCAGCTCATCCTGCCTGGGGTTTTCCTGGTTTTAAATCGGATAGTCCCACATCCCAGGAACCCTCTTAGTCCCAGGCAAACTGGGATGGTTGGTCACCCTCCCTAGATCCCTGTTCCCACCATGTCCCCAGCCCGCTGGAGGATAATAATAATGGCAGCTGAAGTGCGTGAGCTCATTAAGTGCCGGACACTGAGTGTTAGGACCTGCATCATGTCCCTTAGGTCTCACAACATCTTCATGGTGTGGGTCCTATTCTGTTCTATAGTGACAGTAGGAGGTTCAGAGGGTGAAGTGACTGGCCCAGGACCAGTAGCGGCACTGGGGTTTGAACCCACATTGCTCTGGCCTTGTGTTCTCAACCCCACTCTCAGAGAGCCCCAGCAGGGCGGCCTTAGCGTGCTAGGCTGGTGGGCCCTGGGGAAGGGTCAGGTCTCACTTCCTCAGAATGCACTCACCTCGTTGCAGGTCCAGCCAGGATCAATTTTTGCAGGTCTGAGACCCCCACACCTGGCCACCCACCAGGCTCTTCTCTTTCTGCACTTTGGCCCCCAGTCCTTGAATGGGCCAACTCAAGAAGCCCTCAGGGGACAGCTTTCTGTTTCCAGAACAGCCTAGCCCGCCCCTGTCCCTCCACCCTGTGCCACTGCGTGGACAAGGGACAAGGCCGGCGCTTAGAAAATAAACTCTCGCCGGTGATTTATTGCCTGGTCTGGGGAGAGCCGTCCAGGGCAGGAGTGGGGAAGGGAGCAGGACCTGACGGTCCCCTGGGTCTCGGAGGCTGCCGAGCCCGGCCCTTCCTGTGCATGGTCTAGTTGCTGTTAGGGTGGGCCTGGGCCCGGCGTGGGGTGAGGTGGCTGGTCAGGTAGCACACGGCCGAGTGGATGCCCTCTACGGTCCTCCGCTCCACCGTCTCCAGCGTGCGGGTAACGGAGCGCAGGGCCGCCTCTGTCCCCGCCGCCAGTCCGGAGGAGAAGGCCGAGCTGGCATTCCTCAGGATGCTGGAGACGGAGCGCAGGCTGGGCCCCGTGCTACGCAGCAGGTCTGTCACGGAGCTGTGGCCGGAGGCGAGGAAGCCTGTGGCCAGGCCCATGGTGGTCTCAGACCACACCAGGATGTCTGCCAGGGAGCTGATGGACCCCTCGCCCCCGCCCAGCAAGCTGGTCATGGAGCGCAGGTAGCTGTTCTCCTCGCTGGCCGGGTACAGGCTGGAGTCCGGGGGCCTTCTCCCCCGGGCCACCGCGTGGGGGCCAGGCGAGGGCGGGGCACTGCCTCCTGGGGAGGGAGGGGACGGCCCAGGCTGCCGGTCTCCTGAGCGGGCCACCAAGTCCCCCTCAGTCACTGCCTGGGACTCGGCTGATGGCCAAGCTTCAGTGTCAGCGTTCAAGGCCTCCGGAGCCTCAGGTGTCTCCTCCACAGCGGTGCCAGCGGCCCGAGTGTCAAGTTGGCCAAAGGCGTCTGCAGTGCTCACAGCGGGCTGAGCCTCCACGATTTGGGGGAACAGCACCTCAGCACTTGGGGTCGTTGGAGATAATTCCTGCTCCCTGTCTGGGACACCTGCCGTTTGTGGTGTCTCTTCCTTCCCCAGGGAGTCACGCTGGAGAGTCCCGGAACTCGGAGTCATCCTCGAATCTCGCACCAGCCCACCCCATACTGGCTTCTGGGGGCTCACGGATATCTGCAGGGCATCCGGGGCCGGGCGGGCAAGCAGGGCCGCGGTCTCCTTGGGCTCCTGGTCATGCCCTGCTGTAGCTTCATGTGTGTCTGTGTCCCCAGATGCTGACGTGGCCTCGGAGGTGGCTGGCTCGGTGGAGGCCTGATCTGCATCCTGCTGTTCGGCTGACGCCACAGCACTGTGAGGTGCCGGGACACTTGCAAGGAGGGGAACCCGGCTTTGGGACCCTTCTGTTGGGCTGTCTGTAGATCTGTCGGCCACGTCACCGTGTGTGGGGATGCTGGTGACTCTGGCCTCTCCTGAGGGCTTGGTGGTCATCTAGGCCCTCTGCCACTTGTGCTGGTTGAAGGAGTGGCCACGGCCCTGCAGGGCTGAGTTGTCCAGGCGATGAGGTCACAGGGGGCTGTGGGCGGCTGGTGATGTCACAGGCATCAGGACCCCACAGAGCAAGGGTCCCGAGCCTCCAGAGTGGCTGCCCTAGTGGGCTGAGTCCACAGAATGATCTGTAGCCAAGTTTGCAGGTGCATGAGGAGAGAAAAGCAGTGTCTTAGAAGAGGGTGGAGGTGTGTACACAGGTGCAGGTGCCCGCGAGGAATCGTGATGGCTGTGTCTCTGATGAAAGGGAATGGGAGGCAGACATTGATTTAAAATAAATGTCACAAGGATGACTCCCAGCACCTTGGTGTCCACACTGGTGACCCAGGACCCTGATTCAGCCGGTCTTTCTGCAGAGAGTCAGTCTCCCAGCAGTGGTGAGTTGGAATAAGTGAAGGCTAAGGGTCTGGGCAGCCCTAGCCCTGCCCATCTCTGGTTGTGCGGATGCTATAGACTGAACACTGAATCTTTGTGTCTTCGCCACCAAATTCACATCTTGAAAGCTAATCCCCAATGTAATAGTATTGGGAGGTGATTAGGTCATGAGGACGGAGCCCTTGCAAATGGGATTAGTGCCCTTACAAAAGAGACCCCAGAGAAGTCCCTGACGGCTTCCTCCATGTGAGGGACGCAGTGAGAAGATGGCCATCTATAAACCAGGAAGCGGGCTCTCACCAGACACTGAACCTGCCAGCACCCTGATCTTGGACTTCCAGCCTCCAGAACTGTGAGAAATAAATGTCTGTTGTTTATGAGCCCCCAGTCTGTGGTGTTCTGTTATAGCAGTCCGAGCGGATGAAGATAGGACTTTTGCGACACAGGACAGACAGCCTCCATCTTCTCCTCGCTCCCAGCTGGGCTGAGAGGGCAGAGAATAATAAAAGAGCTGTAAACACCTGAGCGTTCTTGGAAAAGTGTGGACCCAGACAAACCTACCTGTGTTTATGCTCTTCATCAAGAGGGTGGTTGGAGTGGAAGGTTCCAGCCTGCTGTGTCTGTGCTTCCCCCTGGGTTATCAGCTAACATTTAGTGACTGCTTATCATGGAAACCTCTAATCCTTCCAACTACCCCATCATCTCTAGGTAGGTACAGATCTATTATTATACCCATTTTACACATGGGGAAACTGAGCCTCAGAGGGACTAAGTGACTTATTCAAAGTCACACTAGTAATAAGCACTGAATCTGGGATTTGAACCCCCTCTGGCTTCAGAACTCAAGCTCTCCAGCACTATCTTGTATCCAGGAGGAATATTAAAAATATTGAGTGACTGGCATGGTAAGGACCCCGGCAAATGCAGACAGAGGCCTACCATAATCCCATCACGCCAGTAGGTAACAGCTGGTGTTACTTCTCCCAAGTACTAGGCTCAATGCTCACTAAGTATTTCTTCTCCCCATTAATACTCTGCTGCCATCTCAGAGGTCACAGGGCAAACCAAGTTTGTTGAGGTGGAATGGACCAATTGGTACAACCTGGTACCTTGTGAAGGAATCATGGAGAAGACTGCTAATTGCTCATCCTAGTAGCCCTTCTTCCTTAGTATCGGAACGCCAATTTTGTTCAGGGTGGCTATGTATTCAGCAAAAAGAATACATTTCCCAGCCTCCCTTGCAGCTACATAAGATCTTCCAGCCAATGAGATGTAAGCAGAAAGTATTGAGTGGAACTTCAGAAAGGATCCTTCAAAGAGTAGAACGCCTGCCATCCTGCCATCAGGAATGTGAAGGCTGGAGCACCAGTAGCCATCTTGGTCCATGTGGTAATCTTGAGGTTGGAAGGCATAGCTTGGAAGGCACATCTTGTGCTCCAAGATGATAGAGCACGAAGACAGAAGGAATCTGGGTCCTGTGATTGGAGCCACCATACCAGCCCCCAGACCAGAATTCCTTTGTGTGAGGGAAAATAGTCACATATACACTCAAACTCTTGTTATTTTGGGTATTCTGTTACATGCACCTAAACTTAACCCTCATCCAATTCTGATAGTTATGAGATCCCTGTCAGGTGGTTGTTCAGTGCTTGCTTAAATACCTTCCTGTCCTAACACTCAAGATCAGCATTGAGTGCCTCTATGCCTGGCACAGTACAGTTGTTATTTCCCCACTTTTCAGGTGAGGAAACTGAGATTTAGAAAAACTAAGTACACAGCAAGTTACATGGCATCTGCCTGACTTCAAAGCCCCCCATACCCCACACTGCTCCCTGCTTCCAGTTAGGAAGTTCTTAATGGCACCTCACAGACAGCCTGTGGCCCACCACAGCCATCAGGCACTCTTCATAGACACTGAAGCCAAACTCCTTGTCCTTACCTTCTGTTGGAACTTGATTTTTTTTTTTTTTTTTTGCTGGGGAAGAGTCACCCCGAGCTAACACCTGTTGCCAATCTTCCTCTCTCTCTCTCTCTTTTTTCCCTCCCCAAGGTACATAGTTGTACATTCTAGTTGTAAGTCCTTCTAATTCTATGTGAGCTGCCGCCACAAGGTGGCTACTGACAGACGAGTGCTGTGGTTCCACAACTGGGAAACGAACCCGGGCCACTGAAGCGGAGCGCAGCAAACTTTAACCACTAGGCCATCAGGGCTGGCTCTGGAATTCGATTTTTGATTCTACGTGTTGCACTTTACATTTACCCTTGTTAAGTTTCACATGCCTTAAAAATCTGCACCAAGAAAAGATAGAGGAGAATAAAGAAGTATTAGTGTCAAAGAGCAGAGAGGAGTATTATTATTATTATTTTTTTTTTAAAGATTTTATTTATTTTATTTTTTCCCCCCAAAGCCCCAGCAGATAGTCGCATGTCATAGCTGCACATCCTTCCAGTTGCTGTATGTGGGACTCGGCCTCAGGATGGACGGAGAAGTGGTGCCTCAATGCGCACCCGGGATCCGAACCCGGGCCACCAGCATTGCAGCGCGCGCACTTAACCACCAAGCCACAGGGCCGGCCCAGAGAGGAGTATTAAAATTTGGGGACAGGGCCGGCCCCGTGGCTTGGTGGTTAAGTGAGCGCGCTCCGCTGCTGGCGACCCGAGTTCGGATCCCGGGCTCCCACCGGCACGCTGCTTCTCCGGCCATGCTGAGGCCGCGTCCCACATACAGCAACTAGAAGGATGTGCAGCTATGACACACAACTATCTACTGGGGCTTTGGGGGAAAAAATAAATAAATAAAATCTTTAAAATTTGGGGACAAACATAGTGTTTATTTGTAAATAAATATTAAATAACATTGGTGTAGAACATAATGTATATTTATTCTGTTGTTATATAGAATATATATACACATGTATACATAAACAAAAATATATCTAAGAGTTTTTTCCCTTAATTTACTTCAAACGTTTCCTGCCTTTATTAAGTAGTGTTCATAGGAAGAAATTAGTCTCAAAAAATTTGTCTTTGATTTCTTTTCAACTCCTGTCTCATAGGGACAATGACTCTCCTATGCTCTCTGAAGGGGGTAACCCTCATGGTACTTTTTGGGGAAGGCCGTGCTCTAGGCTTCTCCAGAGTCCACACTATTGGTGATGTGGCTACCTTGGGGTTTCTGGAGCTGAGCTGCCCGGGTTTGTAACCAAGGGCCCTCCAGGACCAGTTCAACTGACCCCGTCTCTTATCAACAAAGTGATTAAGAATTGTCTTATAGAAAATCTGCAAAGTCATGTAGCCAGAGTGCGTGCAAAAGAAGAAATCCTGACTTCAGAACTAAAGATCCTCCTCCCCAGGGAACCCAAAGACCAGAACACGACCAGAACTCGAAAGTCAGATTCTGATCAGAAGTGAGGGGTCCGTCATTCAGGAAGATCGGTGTTAAAATTCCTTCCCCACCTCATCAAAAATGTTTATAATCCCATCGTAAAAGTTCAGAACCCTGTCATAAATGTTTAAAACCTTACGATAAATGCTTGAAGCCCACCAATCAAAGCCTGTCCCACCAGCATTTCTACGTGCCAGCCTATTTTCCCTGACCTCTTAAATTTCACCCCAAATCCTGAATTGGGGAGATGGATCTGAGGGCACACACCTTCTTTCTTCCTGCAGATTGATCTCGCAGAATAAAGCTGGTCTCTTTTCCCAAAGGCTGATGCTATAATTAATTGGCTGGTTATGTGCATCGGGCAAGAGAACCCCAATTTTGTGTGGTAACAGGTTCAAATCCTGCTATTGCTATAACTAGCTGTGTAACCTAAGGCAAGTTACTTAACATCTCTGTGTCTTGAGTCCTCCATTAGTAAAATGGGAATAATAAAAGTCCTTACCTGTGGCATAATGAAAAATGTATATTAGCTCTTTGTCCCAGCTTCCTGGCACAGAGCTCCTAAGACTTTTGGAATTTCCTCGTAGGAGTGTCTTGTGTTATTCATAAGGAGCCCCTTTTGACCATACCTGAGTTTATGCTAATAAGGTGACTGGATGGCTTCTGGATGGGGACTGGTTGCCAGAAGAACGAATCATGAGATTAGAGGGTTGGAACTTTCAGTCCCATCCCCAGAACCCGGAGAGGGAGTGGGGACAGAGGTTGAGTTGATCATCAATGGCCAATGTTTTAATCAATCATGCCTGCATAACGAAACTTTGGTAAAAACTCTAAACGAGACTACGGGAACTTCTTCTGGGTTGGTGAACACATCTGTAACACATTTGCCATCCCAAAATATGCCTCTTTGGCATAAGGATTATTTTGAGCTGATGATTATTAAGAAACAGCAGACACAGGAAAACTTCTGAAAACCTAGTAGAAGTAACCCTTTTTGTAAGGGAAATTTACACTACAAGAGAAATCTCCATTTGTAAGAGTGTCTCCCTCTCTGTGCCAGGAAGAGAGAGATGACTCTAAATCTCTAGAAACTCTTAGCAATGGAGAAGGCAATGACTTAAATCTGCATAACAACTGTACCCTTGTTTACTGTGCCTTTCCTGGTCACCTCCCATAACTGACTCCGTCTTAACAACAGGATGTTAAAGTTGTTTTTCAGGGGCAGCGAGCCAGCCAGGAGCATGTGCAGAAGAGAAAATTTTGACCTGCAGATCGAAGTTCATCCTGCCAGCCATTCTGCATACCAGCCTGCCCTCCCTGATCCCTTAAACCTTGCTTGGATTGGGGAGACAGAGTTGAGAGCTTGGCTTCCTGTCTCCGGGTGGATCAACCTGGCAATAAAGCCTTTCTTTTCTCGAAAGCCGGTGTGCCACGGTGTCGGCTTCTGTGCGCAGCGGGTGGCGAGCCCTTGCTTGGTAACACATCCACGTGCTGGGAGGGTGGCCACCCC